CGCTCTCCCGAGTAACAGAAGACCTCCAGATGATTTAAAGGCACCTACACTAGGCTAAAATGGGGTCAGCAGTGTCTAAAACGTCCAGGTCGTCCGAGAGTGGTTTGCAAACTCTCTGCAGAAACGGGGAGGCTCCCCAGGCACCCGCTGGCATTTGAATAAAATGCCAATGTTGACTTTCGCCTCCTCTGTCTCCTGGAGCACCCAAGGCACCTCCACACCAGCGAGTGACCCGGCCTGGGGCACAGAGGAAGGCTCAGAGCCCGTCGAAAAACGTTTTGTACCCTCACTAGGTGCCAAACACCACACTAAGGGACCAGGACAGCAGAAAGCTGAGGCCCCGCCCCCAGGAGGGCGCGGGCTGGTGGGAGAGGTAGAAACACACGCTGGCGATGCGGCGCAGTGCGATCCTGCCGAAGAGCTGAGTCCCACGTGGCTCCGAGGCAGGGTCCACAGCCAGTGCCACAGGCAGAGTCCACGTCAATCTGCCAAATACCTTACGGCTTCTGTGCTTTTATACAAATTCAGTGAGGCCATTTCTTCTCTCCAGGATGGGGTTGTTGGGTTGAGCAGTCAAGCTGGATTATTCTAGGGACCCTGCTGTACAATGATATCCAACTGAAAAAAGCAGACTCGCTCTCAGAGAGAAGGGGACCCGCCCTGTGATGGGCAGCCAAACTGAGGAACCAGCAGATGCAGCTCTGCCCTCGTGCCCACCCTGGCCACATGCTCCTTGGGGACATCAGAGGGTGTACGTGTGATTTTAGTCATGTGTCTGCTGCATCTGTTTCTGCCATGTCCTCAGGCTCAATGTGCATGAGTTAAGTGTGTCGTGATGTGACTGACGAGGACCAAGGTACAGGAAGGACACACGTGGCTGGGGAGGTCCGAACGGGCTTCATAGAGGAGGTGCTAGTTAAGCTGGGGCTTCAGGAACGAGCAGGACACAGGTGTCAGGGACACAGCATCGCTCAGCATGGCGGTCAAGAACATGGCATATTCAGGCAAGAGACTGCCAAGGACATGCAGGATGGCTGAGATGTGAGAGCAGAGCCTCCAAACTCAGGGCGGTCCAGCCAGCACAGCTTCTTGGTTACCAAGCTAAGGAACCTGACTTTGAAGTCAGATGTCATGCGAAGCTTCTGAAGGGTCAGATGTCTCCACTCTCACGATATGAGGGGAGCTGGAGGATGACAACCTTATCTTCTAGAGGCTATTAAATATAAAGTGGGGAACACGGGTGGGGGACACTGTCCACTCCTGGACATAGCGCATGAAGGCAATTGGGAACTTCCTGCTGGAAACACCTAAAATCCATTGGAAGTCAATGCCCAAATCTCAGGGGTCAGAGCAGGGTGAGCAGTTTGGATTGTAAGTCACCGTGTGTCAGAGGATGAGGGGAGGTGATCAGATCCACCCACTTCACACACAGTAGGAGCTCAAGTGTGGTTACGCACAGGAGCCCCACCCCTCCCTGCGACAGGGGGACAGTGAGGTCCCAGGAGGGAAGGTCACGGCCAGTGGGAGCCCTTCATCAGAAACGGACGGAGGAGGAAACTCAGGGGAAACCAACAGTGAAGAGACAAAGCCAAAAAGAGTAATAAAAAGTAAGAAAGTAAGTTAAAAACAGATGAGAGGAAATAAGAGACAACAGGGTCTCGGGAGCCAAAGGAAGTGAGAGTTTCAGAGGAGAGTGAATCAGTGTCAAGAGAAGTGAGATAAAGAGCGGGAGGCATGCCCTGGCTTCAGGGGTTGGGAGGCCACCTGTGACTTTGGCAAGAGCAGTGCGACGAAGTGTCGGGAGTGGAAGCTGCTACCGAGGGTCGCAGAGGGCCCGCGGGAGGGTGCAGGGAGGGGAATGTGACCTCCGCTCTGAGACGTCTGATTGCAAAGGGGTAGAGGGATCGTTATTTGAGGGGAAAACAGCTCGTTTTCTCAGCCGTGAAACAAAGCGAATGGGACTGTCCGGAGCAGACTCTACCTCTGCCATTTTAATTAGCTGCTACTTGATATTTAAGAGCCTCAATATGCTAAGGGAAGCTTTGGTTTCATGTTCTAATGCTTTTGCCTCCTTATTTTCCATTTCATGTATTATTTCCATAATTTCATTCTCATGCAAGAGAGCTGGAAATTGGAAATTTCCCGGAGCACTCAAAGGCTGAGCTCAGCTGAGTTCATTTCATGATCAACCACATCTTGATCTGTCTTCCCTGGATCCAGGGTTAATTTTTTTCAAGACATGAAATTGGAGATGGGTCCCTAAGGACAGTTTAAACTTTCAATATCACCTTACATTGGGGTGGGAGTTTTTTGTTTCCAAGTATTTTCACAGCCATTATTTCATCACATTCTTACAATGACCCTGAGAGGGAGGAAAAGCAGAGCAGCTCATACTCATGTTATAGAGCAAACCAACAGCAAACAAGCAAACAGCTTGACGGACACTGTCTAACGCGGACAAGGGCACATTCTTTCCCGTTCCTCTGCTCTTTCAGCTACATGATTAGGGGCGATGGTGGCTTGAATCTTGATTCGTAAGGGACATAATAATATCTTATCCAGATACATCTCAATCACAGATAAGAGAGAGAGAGGGAGGAAGGGAGGAAGGAAGGAAGGAAGGAAGGGAGGGAGGATCTGAGGACTTTTGCCTGAATCAAGTTGAATCAACTTGAAATCAGATGAATCAAGTTGACCAGCCCCCCAGCGCTGGACTCAGTGGTTTCCCCGAGTACCGAGCTTCTAAACCCACGTGCTCATCAGAATCACCTGGGGACACATTCTAAAAAGGGAGATGCCTGGGCCTTCCCATAAAGCAATTAAATCAAACTGAATTGAAAGAAACAGGGGGGTCAAGGAATAAACTAGGGGAGCAGGAAAGAAGGCAAATCTAAACGCCTATTATTCTAACATACAGCAGGCATCGTTGTGCTGCCAAACATTCATTAAGTGAGCGTGTTTTGCATACTTGAAGATACACTCTGTGAATGCAGTTTAAAATGACAATGTTGACTGTTATGTTTGATAACGAGGAATGACATACACATCCAAACCATTAGCCAGAACCCCTGTTCCTACAGCAAATACACACATCTACCCCGTGGAGAATTACTGCACACATGTACATACATGTAATGCACCTGAACAGACATTTCCACGCACCCACCAAATAAGGATGCTCCCTGCAGTTACAGAGCCATGATTCGGACCCCACGCGTCATATGTTGAGATGAGGCCCACAGCATTACGACAACTTAAATGCTGTTCCCCAAATCACCGAAGTCCCTATTCCCTCAAACAATGGCAGTAACCTGGAGTTATTTTAGTCAGGAGGTATGTGCTTACTCCCCTCACGGTTCTAATCCTGGAGGGAGAACCCTAGAGGAGTTGGGACAGCTATCAAACAATAGTGGGTTTTCCTGATTCTCTACAAAGATGGTGCTGGTGGTCCCTAGTCATCAGGTTGGAAGCTTAGCCAGGGGCAGGTGTGCCAGCTCTTCCCCGCCATGTCTCCTGACATCTGGGAGATGGCTGGCTGGCAGGAAGGACGCAGTGGGAGGTCAGAAACCAGAACCAATCTGGTCCATTCCCATGGCACACGGAGAGCCTTCATCAGCTTGTTGCTTTGATACCCTCCACATAGGGTTGCCAGATAAAACACAGCACATGAGTTACATGTGGATTTTGATAAACAACAATATCCAAATATTGCATGGGATATACTTATACCAAAAAAATGTATATTGTTTATCTAAGTACAAGTGTAGCGGGACATTCTGTACTTTTATTTGCTAAATCTTGCAACCCTATCATCAGGGAAAGCTCTCATAAAGGCTTTTACCATCCAAGAAACTTTAGATTGCTCCATATTTTTGTATTATTAATTAGTACCTATAAATATTTCAAAGATATACTTTCTTTGTAAAATAGTATGTTTCTCTTTTTCTGAATGTATTGTGTAGGTTCTAATTTTGCAAATTAATAGCATTATGAAGTTCTCTTTAATGTCTTAAGTTTCTCTTCCAGGAAATATCATCAATGTCACCATAATTGACTTGTGCTTAATATATTCAGTTTGCAACAGTCTCCATGGAACAGAAATAGTGAAAAACTTTAGATTTGACATTTGGATCCTTTAACCAAATTTCCAACCTTTCTGAAGGCTCACTTTCACTTTAAAGCTTTTTTAGAAAATAAAATAATGATGTAAATCATATTATCATTATGTACATAAAGGTGGCCCAAAGCAGCCCTTCCAGAAAACTACAGAGGATTTTCACAATCTCAACTGCTCTTTTATAAAAAAAAAATCTGTTTTCCATAATCAAAAATAATCTAAAAATAGCTCCACATAACACAACGACAAAGCCATCTGTATGATCTCTCCAGAGAGCTCATATTTCTATAGATTTTATCACTTTCCAACTGTTCCAACAAGTTCTGAAATTTAAGAAAGTCATGTAGATCTGTGAGATAAAACTCACTGAAATATTAAATTTAATCACTAATATTTCAATTATTTTATATTATTGTTTTACATCATAGAATACTTTAAATCAAATACTTGTCAGAGTAAACAAAGCATAAAACTGCATTAAAACTCATTATGAACTTTAAAAAAAGTTGCATTAATATGTTCCTATCAATAATCGACCGATAAAACCAAACTGTTGATGAAACAGATATAAATACAGGAAAATACCCAGCACTCAAGTCAAATGAACTGGAATTTGTAAATCTGGAAATACTATCCCTGGTGCGTATTTGAAAAAATTACTTTCAACAGATGCAAAGAGTTCTGGGGCTCTCATCAGAAATGTCGGGTCAACATCAGTTTGTATTTTATCTTCCTGATAATGAAGATTTCACATCACAAGGAAGGATCAAATCGGGATTAAAATAAAGACAAAACTTAAATAAAGGAATCTGAACGCAGCTGATGTGATCTTCAAACGTCAGCCATCAAAAAGTCAAGAAGAGAAACAGACCAAAACACTGACCTCCGAGTCCACGTCCTTGGTCGGGTTCCACGGGTCTCCGCTCACAAGAGAGGCAGCGACCCCCTCATAAGCTCCTCCCCCGTCGCCCGCTCCAGCCGGTGGCACCGAAGGTCCGAACCTGCCTCCCAGGTTCAGCCCTGCAACGAAAAGAAAAACCCCCCTGCTTACTGCGGTCAGGAAGAGTTGGACATAAGGGACTCAACGAGAACATTTGGAAGCTGAACAAAGCCAGGGAAACAGCATCATCTATTAAATCATGGTAAGTGTTAAAACTGATTACTTCTCTGTCAATCGAACCAAAAAGGTTTGTAACTTGAAGAAAACACAAGCTAATTTTTCCCCCAAGCCCTGTGGCATGTGCTGGGTGATTATCACAGTCAAAGTATATATAATGCTGTCCTGCAACGAGCCACAAAAACCCACAAGCTGTGACTTTTTAAATGATGAATTAATGCTTTGCTGAAGATCAGCTCTCTATTAAAAGTCTCAGGGATTTAGCTGTATTAAGGCTAAATCCGTTTACTTAAGTCCCCATGAATCAGTTAAGCACAATGCCAATTCTCCTTTCTGTCCTTACGGAGGCTAATTTTATGTGCTTCAGGGAGCGATTCTATAGACAAAATTCATTTGTCATTTCAGACTGACTAGACTGGTTCATGTAAAAACAAAAAAATTAAGTCATTCAATAAACTATTATATGGTCTTGTTTCTTGGGGTCCTGTCTGTGAAACCAGTTAATATACTGACCCCGGTTCAATTTAGCACCATTTCCATAAACAATCCTCATGGAAAGTATAACATTTTTCTCTTCTGGAGAGTGTATCACTTTCTTAACAAATACGGTAATTTCTCCAGGCTTGCTCTCCTATGAGGTCACGCCTCTGCTATTCAGCGAGACCACAGTGTACCCTCAAGGTAAGGATGGGAATGGGTTCCCTCACATGTTATTCCCATTTCTTCAACCAGGACTCGTAATTTTCAGACCTGAGTCATAATAGCACAGTTTTAAGTTACTAAAGAGTTCACATTTATTGGGCACAAATGGTATTGAAATTTTAATCCTAGACATTTTACAGTTCTCCAAATACTTTTAAATCCACACCATTTTATCATTCTCAATGTGGAAGTCTGCAGTTATAGTCAGGTTACAAAAGGATTACTACTTGAGTATTAACTGTCTGACAGCCCCGCTGGAAAATTCTCAAGCTGGTCACAAAGTATTTAAAACACCCATTTGCGCAGCGCCCAAGGAATGAGGATGAAGCAAAAGTTGGGAGTATGGCCAGTGGCTGGGGTGGGGAGGTGGGGAGTGAGCCGGGCTTCTCGGCCAAGTGGGGAGGGCAGCGCAGGAGAGAGGACCATGGGCCAGGGCAGGGGGGGGGGAGGGCATGTGGTCTCAGGGCTGGGATGAGCCGAGTTTTCAGGGATGAACTTGACTTGCGTTCTAGAGCTGAGGGTTCCAGCCATGCGAGCAGAGGGGACTGGCTCCGGGTGGTGGCGGTAGACACTGGTGGAAGGCTGGATGGAGGGAAGAATGAGCTACCTGCATGGAAGACATCAGTAGTCCTTCTCTTGGCTGTAGAGGAGGCAGCCACTGGAGGCATAGAAATCTTAAATAATGAACCTTGTCCAGTGCCTTGATTTCATGCCCTTCAACGTGCTCCAAGGCAGTGCCGAGTCACTAGCAGCAGGGCTATGGAGTCAGGCATACCCCAGCGTCAGTACCAGCTCTACCGCGCCTCAGCTGTGGGTCCCCGTCCAGTTGTTGGCCTACCTGTTTGTTCATTCACTCATTCACTCACTCACTCGTTCACCAACTGGTTCTTAACTCCCTGCCTTGTGACAGACCCTCCAGACCTGATGTCTCCTATTCAAAAAGCCCATTCCTTCTGCTCCAGGCCAGCAAGCTCTAGTGTCACCTGGAGCCAGCCCCCTCTGCCGACACTGCTGGGACCCTCATCTCTTAAAGACAGCTTCACCCCAGAAGACTTGGTTCCCTCCATCCCACACATCTAAAAGAGGGTCACAGATAAAGCTGCTCTCACGACTCATGTTTTCATATTGGGATAGAAATGACTGGACCACTTCAGAGAGCAACCAGGGCTATGAAACAGCGGGGCCACGGGGCTGTCCTTGTAACTCTTATGTAAATACAAAATGATTTCAAAATAAAATTTAATGAGAAAAACAGGGTGATGGCAAAGTGGCAGGGAGGGCTCCTCTTGATGGAGCGTCAGGAGAGACCTTTATTTGCTAGGATGGGAAGCACCGAAGCTGAGAGTGAAGATGAGAAACTTCGAGCCCCACCCAGAGCCAAGGGAAAACCGTGTCAGCAGAGGGTCAGCAAGTACTTTCCTATCCCATAAAATGAGGCAGAGCACGGGGGTGACCCAAGGCAGATGAAGCACATGGAGCACAAAGAACGCCAGCGGGCTAAGCTTTGCCAAGACCCAGGCCTCTTGCTCTGGAACCTCAGTGGGATTCCCAGGTTGGAATTTACTGAGATAAAGTGAGTTTCAATCCAGTTACCCAGCTCCTGCAGAGTTGGACTAAAAGTGCAATGAACTGAACTTATCTTGAAGGAGTGCTGGTGTGTTGTTTGAATTGGATTAGGAAGGCTTTGAAAAATACCAGCAGTTTCGGAGTGAAAGCTGGAGATCTGTCTGAACTCTCCCCTCCACCAATGAAAACCAAGCACGTGCCAAGAGTTACCCCGGCCAATATGTTAATCTTCTGAAAAGTCAGGTAAAACTGTTAAAAAAGCGACTGTGAGCATTTTTAAATTTCCTCTACATAAACAAAGCAATTTGATGACAGGCTCCTCCTGGCGGCTTTATCAGTTACGTTTCCCACACAAGTGAATTGTTAAATTGAGGAGTTAATCGCCAATTCAATTGTCCAAGGCTTGCTAAATCCAACACTGGAGTCCTCTGTCACCTGCCACCCAAGACACAGTGGGAAAGACGGGATGGTTTCCAGACATATTCCAGCCTCGATACTTTCGCTCCAGGCCTCAGATACTTAGGGAAAGAGTTTTCCCATTTACTAGAACCTGTTGAGAAGCTGTTATGTCTCTCTCTTTTTTTTTTTTAATTGATGTATACCAGCTACAACATGTCAATTTCTTGTGCACAGCACAATGTCCCAGTCCTGCATATACATGCATATATTGATTTTCATATTCTTTTTCACTAAAGGTTATGACAAGATATTGAATATAGTTCCCTGTGCTATACAGAAGAAACTTGGTTTTTTATCTATTTTTATATATACTGAATAACATTTGAAAATCTCAACTCCCAAATTTATTCCTTTCTTACCCCCTTTCTCCAGTCATCATAAGATTGTTTACTATGTCCGTGAGTCTGTTTCTGTTTTGTAGATGAATTCATAGTGTTCTTTTTTTTTTCCTTTTTTTGTTTCCACATATAAGCGATATCATGTGGTATTTTTCTTTCTCTATCTGGCTTACTTCACTTAGAATCACAATCTCCAGGTCCATCCATGTTGCTGCAAATGGCATTATTTTATTCTTTTTTTTTTATCACTGAGCAGTATTCCATTGTATAAATATACCACAGCTTCTTTATCCAGTCATCTGTGGATGGACATTTAGGTGGCTTCTGTGTCTTGGCTGTTGTAGCCAGTGCTGTATGTCTTAGAAGAAAGGAGGTGTCACTATGATCCAGATCTCTGGATTGAATCATTACCTTGTTTCTGCAAGCAAGGGAAATCAGAGAGGGAGCAAGTCCACCTCCTTGGCTTTGGGGAGGCTGGGGAGGCCTTTGCAGGGCTTCCCATTTGATAATCAAACTGCAACTGCACAAACCAAATATAAAGAATTTTCTTAGTTCCCTGGACCTTTTCCTCCAATACTTCTAGTAGCAGAGAAAAAGTTATTTATTCTCTTGAAGGCAGAATATCACAAACCCTGAACATTTTCCTTTTTACCTACATATTCTAACCTCTTAATCCAAAAGAAGTCCTTTGGGGCTGTTTCTTTTTTTTTCTTCCTCCCACTAAGAGGCTTTATTTCCAAACATTCCAAGGAGAATTCAGAGGCAGACTCTGCCAGCACTTGTAGAATGTTGTGTAATCTTTTAAAGAAATTGAGTAACAGCACTATTTGCTGAGTACAGTATTTCTTATCTATACACATGGATAATGAAGCCATCCCTCAGCCTTTTAATTGGTTGCACAACGTCCCCCCAGCAGTATGTGTAGCCAGAGGATGGCTTCTTATGAGCTTTGCTTATGTATTTATACACTGCTATTTCTTTCTGATGATGCAAATAAAATTTTTATTTGTGCCGCATGGATAGACAGAATAAATTATACACAGCTGTGAGATATCAGAGTGTATTTTATGGAGTGATCTTGTTGACAAACCATAAAAGGAGGACACACATTCAAGCCCTGGAAACCCAGGGAAAAAAAAAAGTGACCTAAGAAAATAGACAGTTTGCATACATTTTGTTTTTCCAAATATTTGTGCATCAACAAAACTTGGTTGACTGAATAAAAAATGCAAAGAGCTTGTATTGGGGAAGAACTTCCAGTTTTTTTTTTCTGTTGAGGAACCAGATGCACGGCTTGCCACCTTGATAAAATGGCCAATTCGCTTCAATCTCATAATGGGAAAAAAAAAGCATATTAGATATTTTGGCTTCTAATGCAGTTATCTTCTGTACAATCAGTTCTGCTTTCCCACGAGGTATGTGTGCCTAAATTGCTTGTCTCTTTGTGTGAGTTTGTCATCTTAAGACCTGATTACAGCTGGTGAGGAGGGAAGTGACAGACCAGGTCCTCAGGCAAGAATCTTTGCAGCAATGGCTTTTAAGGTTTTAGAAAAGCCAGCAATGAGGCTACCCCCAAAAGTGACTTCAGATTCCACCCCTCCATGTAAAGCACCCAGAGCATGGCTGCCCATGGAAGTTCTGCCTCGTTCCCCCTCCAGCCAAGCCTCCTTTGCCTGGCTTACTAAGGGAGGTCCAGACTACCCTGATGCCCACCTAAGGGCTTCAGCTCATTAGAGGTGGAGATTGACGTGGAGTTCTGAGATAGTGGACAACAAACATCTTGGAGCCACAAGACCTGGCTCTGTTCTTGACCTTTCTTCAATTTATTGCCCTGCATCCAAATCTTCATCTGAGGTTCTGCCTTCTACAAAATGGGAACCACATTCTCTCCCTTCCTAATACCCATAGGGTTAAGGAAACTCAAACATATCAGTACAGTCAAAGGGCTTCTGAAAAGCTCAATGCACAAAATCAGTCTAGGATGTTGGAACGCAAATTTCCAGACCCCTCGGTGGTGTTTGTCCAACCGAACCACACGGCTGGTGTGAAGACAACAACCCGATACCCATCGCTAGACAGTGCCGGGGTTTTAGCTGCTGGTGGTCATCCATTCAAGCTGCCCGGTGGGCCGCTGGGGAAGCAGCCTCTGATGAGGCTACTAGTCAGGATGAAACTTGAACATCACACCTGGAGTTCTGGCTTTAAAGGGAAATCATTATCAACACCCACATAAATCTAAGCGAGGAGAAGCAATCTGATGTGCCACAAGTAGGATTAAGATAAATATCCTTTAGAAAGTCTGGCTGGTGGGAAACATTGAGACAACTGTTATGAGTTGCAAAAGAATCTGGAGCCAAGGTCCTGGAGACACATAAAGCATTTTTCTTAGCCCCAAATCTCTGAGAGCTAAAGAAAATTTCATAGAATCGGCTGAGCAGTGCCATGGTTCAGGGAACCATGGTGGCAATGCTCCCATAAGGGACAAATATGTTTCCTTCATTCAGATCTGTATCTACAGTCTTCAGCAAATAACAATGTCATTCTCTCATGTCATCTGCAGACTCTGTAGGTGATAATTAGGGACATGATTTTTAAAATGGTATAGCTCAAGGATGTTCAAAAGAACCATGGTAAAAGTTAATCCTAAGAGAGTCATTTTGCAGTAGAAAACCTGAAAAACACTGCACCAGCCAGATAACCAAAGTCAACAGCAACATCCATCATCCTGCTGTTGGCATGTACTTTTCGTAGGACATGATGAAAACAATGCTCTACTCTGTGACCTTACTCCCTCAAAACCACCACCTCAGTCAGTCCTGACACAAATGCCAGTAGAGGTGCTTCCTACAATATATCTGACCAGCACACCTCAGAACTGTCCATGTCATCAAAAACAAGGACAATCTGAGAAACTGTCACAGCCAAGAGGAGCCCAAGGAGACGCTAGGAATAAATGCATTGTGGAATCCTGCACAGACTGGGGAACAGAAAAAGGACATTAGGTAAAAAGCAAGGCAATTGGGATGAAGTATGAATGAACTGTAGTTAAAAATATTATGTCACTATTGGTTCATTAATTGTAACAATTGTACAATACTAAGGTAAGATGTTAATAATGGGGGAAACTGGTTATGGGGTATAGGGGAACCACATTACCTTCTCAGTTTTCCTGTAAATATAAAACTGTCCTTTAAAATGAAGTCCGTTAATCATCATTTAAAATTTAATCTGTATCTTGCAAGAAGAATGTCATTCTAGGGCAATTCAGTATCAAAAGGCTCAGTGATGGCTCCAAAGACCAGCAAATGGGAGTCTTTACCCTTCACCTCTCTTCTAACATTGCTCCTCGTTCAGAAGGAGGAAAGAAGTGGTAACGACAGCCAAGTGAAATGCATAAACTAATTAACTGACAATGTTCCCTAGAGTATAAAAAGGCGGAGGTAAGCAAAAGTAGTTGATCCTTAAGCAGCAGAAAGGCCCTTCTAAGCACCCCCAGGGAACTCTACAGAACACAGAAATAAGCCGCTATAAAAACTTGACATTTTTGGTTATTGGCTACAAAGCTCTGAAGTAGTACAGAAGTGAAAAGTTGGTTTAGGAAGGTGACACCGAGTGACAGTCACATAAATATCGATAAAACGGTGCTGACACTGAACCAGATTCGCACCGAGTCTCAGATCGGAGCTCCCCGCGGCAGAAGGCTGACTTACCGAGACACAGCCTGGTGTGGGATGGCAGCTACAGGGCTGCGAGCCGGGAGACACAGCGTGCGCCCGCCGCAGGCTCTGCGGGGACACCCCGGGCTGGTCTCTCGCACTCTTGACACACAAACCCTATATGTGTCCAGGAAGGCTATGGACCATTGTCCACCACAGAGGGCTGGCAAGGGGACCGAGTGACATCTTGGATGCAAAGTGTATGTGGATGTCATTTAGCTTAGTTTTTTTGTTTTTGTTTTTGTTTTTGTTTAAATCAGTCTTTGGAAAGAAACACGTGAAAACGCTCTTGCAGGGCTTTTGTGGAGGGCCAATGGGGCTGTGGATTTATTGGTTTATTCATGCTTGTGTGTATCCCTGATTGTACTGTAATCAGCCATATCACTTTTACAATGGATGAAAATTTTAAACCTCAATCACTGGGACTCTTGACAACAAACCAGCTGATGTATAACGTTTCACTTTCCTACCGGCTTTCCTGGCATCACAGACACTCAGCCTCGGGCAGGCCAGAGGACATGGCCCATTTGGAAATAAAAGCAATCAAGTCCTGCGAAACAATTACAATTTTGAAAAGATGTTTTGTATGTCATTTCAAAATTCAAAGAAAGCTACTTATAGCTGCCCATAAATGTTTCAGGTGGATTCACACCCCAAGCGCAAGTCGTCTCTACTACACATGAAGATGACTTTTCGTGCCTAAAGTGTCTCCTATCTGTAGGGAGCAAAATCATTTACAACATTGGCTTATATTTTTATACTCCTCTGCTGGTCAGTGGAAGCTAGTGTGAGTCCTATTTTATAAACAGGGAGACGGAACTCGAGAGTTATACAGGTTATTTCTAATGTTTCCCATAACAAATGGCAGAATTAATGGCAAAACCCAAGCCTTTTGCATTTCAAATGTGTCCACACACTTTGTCCTTCAGAACAGAGACAAAGACATGCTGCAGGAATTCATCTGTAATACTTTCGAGGGTGGAGGATAGCGGTCAGAATTTTCCAAAATTGACTTTGCAAGAAATGATATAAGAGGAAAATGGAACCAGTTATTAAAATCTTACCACACCAGCAGTTTTTGGAAGTAAACAGCAAAAGGTGAAGAAGAGAAGCTAGTTGATTCCATTCACCACTGTAAACGTATTAGATGGACTTAAACAACAGAGCAGTCATTTAGCATCTACACTAAAGTCCCCGTGCCATCTAAGGTCTAACATCCTCGCTGCACCATTGTCATCTTCAACCACCTTCTGCTGAAATACACCCTCAGCCTGGCAGCACCTGGTGGTTCTGCTTTTCTCCACTTCTCCAGCCAAATCTTGCCTTCTCCACTCAGACTCCTTCCTCTGGCCTCCTTTCCTCCCTGGGAACTTGAGCATCCGTCAAGTCCCAGCTCTTGGCCATCTTCCCTCCCTATCTTACCGTCCCCTAGAAAAGTCAATGTTTTTAACTGATGTTGCCCAAATCAGTACTTTTCCATCTGACCATTGACCCAAGCACAATCTGTATTACAATATCTACTGGACAGTTCAATCTCAATACCTTGTCACTGTCATCACCTCTGAGTCAGCACATTCAACATCCAGAGGCCTCACTCCCTCCCCTAGTCAGAAAACGAAACATTTTCCACCATTAACATCTTGCCATCACCACCACCACTCACTCCGTAAGTCACATGGCTGGGCGACATCTTTGACACACTCTTTCTAATGCCCACATTCAACAACTACGATCGGGTATTTTGTGCATTGTTTTTGTTTTCTTCTGTTTTCTACAAACTCTCCTACTTCCTAACTGAATCCTTCTAGACAGTTTCATCACCTGCAGTCTCCCCCACCTCCATTCTTGAAGGAGAGGGACATGTGGTAAGAGCAAAAATCTACGGCAGAGTTTTCCATCACGAGAATGTGAACACGAGTGCCCTAATGGGGGTAGAGAGCTTGGTGGGCTCCGTAGAGACAGAAAGGCAGTCAGGGTGGCCAAAGGGGACTGAGAAATGGGATTGGGACAGGTGGGAGCAGAAGCACAGGAGGCAGACCCAGCCTTCGAAGGCAGGGCTTGGATTCTGAGTGAATGCAATGGGAAGGCACTGTAGGGCTTTTTGCAGAGTAAATCTGATTCATTTTGGAAAAATTCTCTGCCTGAGAATGCAGTGTGTGGAGACCATAGAAGAATGGATAAATGAGAACTATTTATAGGGCAAAAATGCAAAGTTCAGCATAGATTACATATAGATTACAATGGGGAACACTAATTAAACAAGTGCTATGCACCAAACCCCATTCTAATCTTTTTATAAGCTCTTTTTTGTTTGCTTGTTTAGTTGTTGGTTTTGTTTTTTTTTTTGGAGGGGGAGGTAATTAGGTTTATGTGTCTATTTTTAATGGAGATACTGGGGATTGAACCCAGGACATCATGCACGTTGGGCAGGTTCTCTACCACTGAGCTGTACCCTCCTGCCTTTATAAATTTAAACTGTTTAAATTTCACAACAACCCTATGATGTTCATCCCTATTGAGCAGATGAAGAAACTGAGACACAGAGAAGTCATTAGAAACTTGCCCACGGTCCAGAGAACCAGGAAGCCAGGAAGCCAACCCAGACAGCCAAATTCTAGGATCTGTCCACCAGCCACACTACATGATAAACAATCGCTCTGGCCGGGAAACACTCGGAATCAAATTCAAATTCCTTCCTGAGTCCTACGAGTTCTGGAACTTCATCCCTTGACAGCTCCATCTTGCCCCCTCTCCTGTGACTGCACTGACCGCCCTTCGGACCATCCATGTGTCCGGCTACGTCCTACCTCATGTCCTTTGTGTTTGCTCTTCCCTCTGCTGAGAGATTCTGCTCTCAAACCTCTGCACGCCCTCAGAACTCAGTATTTATGGCTCAGCTCAAATGTTAGCACCTCAGAGGGGCTGCCCTAGTTAATACCCTTCCTTCCAATCCAAGTTTCTCTCCAGCCCATCATCCTATTTGGTTCCCGTCATAGCACTTTTCAGCATCTAAAGTTGTTTTCTTTCTTCATCCTTTGGGCTCCACCACCAGACCCACAAAATCTAAAATGGCAAGCGGTAGGGGCGCCATTTGTCAAACTCATGTGCAGATGAGTGTTTATTTCATGAATTATTACCAAACAAACAAAAAGTTGCCATGACCTTGAGATCATAACGACATGGGGTGGCAGGGGAGGTCCCCGCGGCTCGGTCCTTGCCACAGAGACTTCTGACAGGTGATTGATTTTTAGCTCACCCAGCAACGTCTGGCTTCTTGCGGCTAGGTGCCCAGCACCAAACCCACGTAAGCCTTATTTATAAGCCAGAATTCCAATTTATTTATTTTTAATGCA